GTAGTGGAAGCATCCAGTTTCTCTATGTACACCAGGCATGTGGATGTCTTCCCTGAAGCCTCCTCTACTCTGAGCAGAACCTGGAGCCAAATAATCCTCAGTTTCAGTTATGGTTCTTTCTAGGGTAGCCTGGAGAGTTTGAGCCCGCCCAAACCTCTTTGAACCTCACTTCCTAGGGGTTAACATGGGAATAGCAATATTCAGGGCCACAGTGTATGGTGGGGCAAGTTGCTCACGGCACAAAGTTGCTCAGTTAAGGGACCCTACAAATGCCCACTGGGGGCACCTCTTTCTAACTGCACAATGGCACCTTACGCACTAATGACAGCACTCACCTTGCAGAGTTGTGAAGCCCACATGAAGAAATCCACTCAAGGGAGGAAGGAGACACTGTTCCTACCGTGGGTAAATGACCAAGACTGCGCCATCCTCTGGGGCATGTAGATTGAAGGTGTGAAGGGGTGTGTGTTTCTCTTCCTCTCCCTGCTCCTGTGTTTCTGCCTCTCCTTGCATTCCCCCACCACCCCTCACTTCGTGGCTGGCTCATAGACATTCTGAGCAGACAAGCTCTGGCTCCTGCGCAGATGGATTCCTCCTATGAAGGCTGATTCTGACATTTGATACCAGCATCCATTTCACAGCCTTGCTTCTGATCCCTGTGCACCTGTCCCGGCTGTGCCCCTCCCACCCACTTCCATTTGTCACCTTGCTCCTGGCCCCAGCCCTCTCCTCCTAAAGCCCCCCTCTGCTCTCTCCATCACCTACACCACTCTGAGATGCTTTGAGGGACCCAGGCCTGGGGTTCCTCCTTCCAGCAGTTTTCCAAATTCCTACCTCAAAGAGAGAGGACCCACCCTGGATTTGTGCTAATGACACAAACATCCAGTCCTCTCGTCTCCCTCCCAACTGGGGGTTTAAGCTGCGTTTTGTTTAGCTTTAAGAGTAATATATTAAGTGACAGTTCTCAGAATACAATTTTAATTAAGATTCAGTAGTCACTTCTCTGTCAGTAATCTTCCATACTGATTACTTAAAATATATTTACCTGGCTCTATTATGTCACAGATTTGAATTCATTAGACGTTTGTTAATCCCTACAAACTTATTTTTAAAATGTGTTTGTTTAACATAATTTACAAGGACACAACCGACTGAAGCAATGGGCCTTTGCCTCTGAGGCTCCAGGGGTGCCTCCCATGGTGGCCAGGCCTTCCTGCTTGCTTCCACCAAGGCCGTCTCTACCAGAGGGCAGGCAACAGAGCCGAGGATCAAAAGTCCCAAAGAATGTGGTAGGCAGTCCATCCACACTGCACTGAGGTTGTCCATATGGGTCAGCCTCCCAGGACACAGAGCATGGTGCAGGAAGGTAGAGAGAGGATCTGAAGGGAAACAAGGGAGATCTCCAGTACTAGCCACAAATAGACTGGCCCTGGACTCAGCTGTGCCTGACAAATGTTATCATTTCCTGTGTGCCATGATGTGAAAATGTTGGGAACAGCTACTTGGTTCGATAACACTGCAGCATTTCTGACAGGAACTCATATGGAAGATGGCCTTTCCCAAGGGGTCATAGAACACTAGTTACCCAACACACACACACACACACACACACACACACACACACACACAGCCACCTCCTGCTTCATTAGGAAAGGACATCCTTGGATGTGGCTGTCTCTGTGCCCCCAGTGGGTACAGAGAGTACCACTCAACTCTACTTGAGCAGACACAGTGACCAGAGAAATATCACCTCTCTCTGACCACAATGAGTCATGGGCAGGTATAGCTGGAAAGTGCAAGAGGGCTCAACACAGATGGAGAAAATTCCTGTTTGCTCTGTTAGGCCCCAGCTAAGTAGGGACCTAGAAGGGACCCAGAACATGTTTGAGCATTGAGAAAGGTGGCAGATAGAAAGCTTCTATATGTTGACACTTGTGGGATGGATGGACCTGGTGGGACCTGGGTCAGGGTGAGCTGGTCCACCTCAGGTAGAGTGTGGTAAGAACAGGGACTGGTAGGGTGAGCAGTTGCTCACAGGGAGCCCAGAGCAAAACTGTGTGGAATTGGGTATGTTGGTAAAGGCATTTAATGAGGGTGCCCATAATGAAGGTGAAAAGAAAAACAAAATCCTCTAGAACAGAAGTCAGAAAACTTTTTCTGTAAGGAACAAGATAGTAAATATTTTAGGCTTTGCTGTCTGCATGCTATCTACTGCAGCTACTTACCTCTGCTATTGTAGCATGAAAGAAGCCACAGACAATACATAAACAGATGAGCATGGCTGTGTTCTGATAAAACTTTATTTACAAAACAGTCAGTGAGCTGTGGGCTATAGTTCACAGCACTGTTCAGTATGGTAGCCAAGAGCCACAGAGGGCTAGTGAGCATTTGAAATGCACCAGATTTTGAAGACTTGATACAAACAAAAGAATGTTAAACATATCATCAGTAATTGTAATGATGACATATTGAAGTAATATTTTGGATATAGTGGGTTAAATAAAATGTCAAAATCAATTTCACCTGTTTCTTTTCATTTTTTAAAATATGGCTAATAGAAAATTTTAAATTACATTTATGGCTCACATTGTATTTCTACTGGACAGCACCGCTTTCAAACAACACTCTCCAGGTCAAATATAGGATAAGTCAAAATTAGGGATAAGTCTCTGGCTCCTGAAGGGTCTCAGGTGGAGGATTTGCCCTTAAAGAAACACAATAATGGAATTCAAATATGCATGATAAAGTATATGATTGGAATAGGTTTTACAATATAATATATATGTATATTTTTAATCAACTAGTTGTTTTGTCTGCATCTGTGCTCCTCAAACTGAGACCTATGGAGCTCCACTTTCTCAAGATACGAATAACTGTTGCTCAAAAAAGGAGTGTCTTCGGGCCGGCCCGGTGGCGCACTGCTACAGTGCACCTCTTGGGAGTGCGGTGGCGTTCCCACCGAGGGTTCGGATCCCACATACAGACCGGTTCCCGCTCACTGGCTGAGCGAGGTGCGGG